CCTCAATCCCCGCTGGTCTTCTACAGCTCGGGGAGCCTCTGCCGCTCCTGCTGCTTCCTCCACCACAGCAGCCGCTGCTGCCGCATTTGCCGGCCTCTCTGCTGGTGCCTTTGATCCCCGCTGGTCTTCTCTGGGTCGCGGATCCTTTGCTGCCCTCGCCGCTGCCAGCCGCAGTGGCTGGACACCTTCAGCCCGGTGGTTCCCTGCCGGTCCTTGGCCTTCCCGCACTTTTGCGGCTCCCTTTCATCTCCGCTGGGTGGTGTTTCCCCATGACGTCACCCAGCCCCAACTGTATATGGGTGCAGCTTACAAACTGCGCGGGTGGTTTCTTGCCGCGTGTTTCCCTGCTCCTCCCGGCTCCTGAAACAGGTAAATTGTTTTTTTCCTCCTCTTCTTCGGTCAGGGTTTTGCCTCTGGGCAAGTCTTCCCCCCTTTCTAGTTCTGTGCCCCTGGCACACTCACCAATACAGGCAAGGAAGTGGTCTCAGTCTTTACAGCCTTCACCAGGTGTTGATCCATTGCCGAGGGTGATAATCTAGGTATAGATTATGGCGTTGCAGTGAGTGATTTGTCTCTCTTGGAACGCACCTTGCCAGTAGCTCCATTTCTCTGTTATACCCTTCAGGTATATGCCTTCAAAGCATTCTTTCTTGATAGATTGATGCCCAAAGCCCCAACAAAGCAGATAAGATGGGGTCCGTCATATTTTAGTTAGGTTACAATTGTTATCCCCTCAGATCCTGTTTGGTTATGAAACTTGCGTTCGCAAACTCTTGATCAGTCCAGAGGTTACAATTTGATCAACTGAGATGAGACTTGATTGACTGAATCAGACACCTTGAGACATCGATCACAAGTCACTGTGTAGGCAAGACACTGTTTGGAAAATTGTTTTAGCAGTGGGGCAGAACCCAAAATATCCTTGACTGGTATGGATCTATTGAGATGGATCAAAATGCTAGACAGACATTCTCTGTGCTCTGAGAAATACGAATCGATCAGGGAAGGACATGTCAATAAGGAAGAGACTATCACCAAGGGAGGGGCAGTTATCCATGTACAGTTTATCATAGTTAAACATCGGGTGTATCCTAAACCGGCATGGGAGATGAAATCAGTTGTGATTGCTTTTTTTCAAATGGCACCAGTAACAATCTTTCTTGCATTCTCGTGCAAGCTGCAACTGTTATTACAATTTAGTAATTTAAATTTCATATGTAGGTCCAGCCAGGCTTCCCCCTACTGATCTACTTTGTCTGCTGCAGCACAATTCAACTTTTTGCAGCGTTCCCCTCTGCAGGTGCCACAATTACCTGCTGCCACCCCAGCCTTTCCTTGTTCTTGTCTCTTCCTACTGTAGCTTCCATTTTAATATCACCACCAAGTGCTACTGATTTCACTGCCCCCCTCCCCCCCCCACACACACACCCACTACCATGGCTAGAGGCAATGGTCGGTGTCTAATTTGAGGGTGAGAGTATGCAGTGGCTGCAGTAGCTGGGGTGAAAGAAAATAATCACAGTTCAGGGGCACATCAATGCACAACTCAGGGCAGGAAAAGGGGAATGTCCAGGGTAGAGCTGGGTACATTTCCTCTAAGTCAGGCATATTACTGATACCTTCAGTGTTGTGTGCTGCCCCACAGGTTTTAGGTTGCCAAACCTTGATCCTAAGCAAATCTGTTACTCCACTTAATTCCTTTACTTTGTGGTTCTAAAAGATGAAGTACAAAACTAGGACTTTCATCAAAACCTTTCAAAATTCAGTCAGATTTTATACTGAAACCTGTAGAGGTTTGATTTTTATCTGCATCTCTCTTATAGCAAGGAAATATTTCTTGGTGTATAAAAGAAAATTGATAATATACTTGGAGGTAGAAATAACTCTTTTGTGAATATCATCTTTCCTTATTTTTGATCTAGTATGGATTTTTTGTGGCAATATTTCTGCTCCTGTTCACTTAAGCTCTCCATTAGGCTTGTTACTGTTACACAACATAGTACTGGGCCCCTCAGAGGAACTTCTATGAAGGAAAAAGCAAAGGTTAGGTATTAACTGAAGGTCTGTATCACTTCAGTCTTGATTTGCTGGATCACCCTCCTTTTTCTTAATATTGTAATATTCCAACACTTGTTGGAAGAACTGGAACTTTTTAGATGACACTACTTGTGAATAATTTGGAATAGCAATGTCTGCAGTGAATGATCATTCTTCTGGATGATCCTACTTGTACTTCTGTGACTCCTTATTTATGGAACTCCAGAAGAAAAAATAGTTGAAAAACCAAAAACTGTTCTTAGTTTTCTAGTTAGGACATTTTAGGTACCTGTCAGCGTAATATGTTACAGGGACAAATGACAACTGTCATCACTGTTCATGCTGTTCTTCAGTGTATTTTAAAACTTCTATATCCTAGGACATGAGGATCTAAATTAAAAAAAAAATCAACTTTGTAGGAAGACATTTCTGGGCTTTTATTTATTTATATCTATATATAGATAGATATCTATATACAGATAGATAAAGTTCTTCAACGAAAAACAAAAATACAGTAGGCTGATATACTGTGTATGTGGGTGTGGGGGGTGGTGTGTGTGTGTATTCCCACCTTGACAAAATCAGCCTACTGTATTTTGGGTTGAAAAACTTAACACACAACAAAGTGCATATATGATCTAAGGCATAGAAGATATCTATGATATGTATTATAGATCTACGATATACATTTTTTCCTGGTTTTTAATTATTCCAGACATAATTACAAAAATGATGGTCCACAGGACATTAACTGGAAATAGCAGGGAAAGCTAATGAGTAATATAAATCTAATCAATAAGATAATACTTATTCCATAGTGTCCCAGCACCTGCGGAGGGTTCAGGATTGAGAGTATGGTCGGGGGGTAGAAAGGTAAGAAAGATTTATTGACTTAACAAAAACACAACTACGCGTAGTAACAAGACAAGCAATGACAGATGAAAGCAATTCGCATCAGCAATTTATTGGCAATCCCCTTTGATGCCTGATACACAGCAAGCTTCTCTTTCCACAAAGTTCAGCGAAGTCAGGCATCCCTGAACAACACTGTCCAAAGGAGTACTGGGAAGGACCCTGGAATGCAGTCCTTGGGCTCATCGAGGTCCATGGACCCACTGATCCAGGCAACAGCTAATTAATCCTTTTCACAGAGCTGCATCTTCCTTCTGAATGGGTTCCAGATATTTCAGCCAATTTAAAGCTTCTGAATGGTTCTGATAACGTACAACCACTCAGATTCCTTTTACTTCAACTGTTCTTAGACTGACCAATTAGCAGTACAAGCCTTTCATTCCTTTGATAAGGTAATTTTAACTATGCCACAGGGCCTTACTACTTTAAGGCTTTGCTAAATTTACTAGGCCTTACTTTATACAAGGCCTCACTACATCTTAAACTTTAATTAGGCTCTTAGCAATATCATGTAGCTTAATATCTAAACAAATACAGAAAAACACTTAGTCTAATCTTCATAGGGCCTTCAGCAAGCACCTGTATTCCACAGACATAATTTTAGCTGTCACACATAGGGCTACAAGAAAAAAAACCCCAAACCTGGTCTTAGATTTGAGGTTAATTTGGCTGTATAATGGACTCCTTGATCAACTTTGACTTGAGGCAAGTATGCAGAGAGGGAGGTCTCATCCTAGTTGAGGTTGGGGGTATGTTTATGTGCATCATGCCAGTATATAGTGGGGTGCTGGGGATAGAGAGATGGGATAGAGAATGAATATTCCAGAAATCAGGTTTATGCTCTGGCCAAACCTTCAGATTCAATGTCATATCTGTATGGCTTCTATGGTGATTGTCCCTTGCTGTGACACTGTTTTAGTGGCAACTTCAATAGCTTCAGTTTGTGTGGAGTAAGGAATGTGAGGAAAGCTGTTTCTGTTGAAAATGGCTGTAACATGTGGAAAATGACCAATTGGAGTAAGGTTTCTCCAAACAGTTGATAGAAGCCTATATTGTGTAAAGATGTTGATAATTGGTATGTAATGAAGGGTTAATGGGGAGCCAGGTGTATTTGTATGAAGTGAATCATTAATTGAAGACCCGTTTTTTTATTTGGTCTCCCTACAACCATTTTTGTGACTGCACTGATGTGTACTAATCAAGTCAATTAACTGCCAGTGTAGGTTCTGGAGCTTATTGCAAACTCTATAGATAGCACTTACCCAGCACCTGCCCCACACAATGTCACAACCTGAGCATTTGTATAAACATCAGGTTAATGATTTAATATTATGCAGTCTAAAATCTATGTAGTTGTTGCTTGAGAGCCTGAAAACTCATGTTTCTGCTTTAGCTTTTGAACATCGGTGTTGCAGGCAGCAGCTTGCTTTGAGTGCAGCTGGACTTAAAATATTGGACTGGCGAATTATAAAAGTGAGTCTGAGTAAATAAAAATTGATGGGACAGTCAGTCTAATTCATACATATTATAAATGAGAGAGTCTAAATTGAAGCTTGTTTGCACAGAATTTGATACTTTCTCAATTTCTCAATACAAATAGTGTTCTTGTATTGCTCTTTTCAAACTTCACAACCTAATAATGGTTAAGAGCTAATAGCTAGCTTTCCCTTAACTTTTTTTTTTTCCATTTGATTTCTGCTGTGCAATGAGCAAAGATGACTAATAGTTTCAAGGCTGTTCACAACCAGTTTCCATTTTCTACAGCAGGTCAAACTGAAGGAATATATGAGACCTGAACTAACGAGTAAGATTTGGAGAACGGCAAAATATGGGAAACAGTGTTATGTAAATTCAAAACTTAAAATTTGATCATTATTTTTTTTTTTAACTACCAATTCTTTCTCTAGCAGATAGATAATTTGATAATCTAGTGGGCTTATTGATGCTGCTTATTGAGACTGCTTGTCTCAGTCTTGTGTGTGGTGGTGTTTTTTTCTTTTAATTTTTATTATTAACTCAGTATGTATTTAGCATGGCTACTTTGCCTATAGGTTAACAGCTGAATCCAGACTTGAAACTGTGGAAAATGAAGACATGAAAGAAAATGCAATCAAGTCTGAGAAGAAAATGCGGAAGAAAACATACACTACACTATATGTGTCTTCTAAAGAAACTTCTGAAATGCAATGTCCTCAGCAATAAAACTCATTTTTTTCAGAACAAATCTGAATAATTTAATGTTGTGCCTTAAAGATTGTATTGTGCAGCAAACAAGATGCAAGTAAATTATTACTGTACATGCATGTTGGATTTAAGCAGTGCATCTTTCGTATTTCATGAGCAATTACGGCTATATTAACTAGGGCTTATGCTGTTCATATTTATTTTATGCTCAGAAATGCCACCAAATTTAAATGTCATAGTAACTTGATCTGAAACTTTGGAGCCTGAATTTTCATTGGGACTATAGTTAATAGTGGTCTAGCGTTTTCACAAAGTCATTTCAGAATGACTATAAATTGCCATAGCAATGCTATTATCAATGTGGATGTAAACTAAGAGCAGGGTGTGCTTGGTTACTAGATTGAAGATGGGTAGTTTCTCTGAAAATTTTGCATTCCTAAATTATTTTTTATAACTTCAAAGGAACACATTCCAAAACAGTGCCCAACCCCCCTTACCCCCAGTGTATAGCAATTCCTGGGTGTCATGCTTTTGTGTTTGTGTTAGATTTTTGCAAACAAATGGAACATCTGTTGGCATTTTAGAACATCTGTGGGATTTTAGAAAGGAGCAATCCATGGCTTCTGGTAACTATTGGTATATTTTATAAGTATTCAGTATTTCAAATATGCTGTGCCCCCACCCCTACTTTAAAAGAATATGCTATATCAAAATTAATGTATGCAAAGTGTATAACATCATAAATGTAGTAAATTTTTAAAAACTTTTAAGTTATTTTGTAATAAGTAGTCTAGTCTTGTATAAAAACTTAACTACGCATTAAATAAAATTTACTATTTCTAATATAACTTTTTTTGGCTGTTTGTAGAATACAACATGTGTTAAACATCTTAAAATCAAAACAAAATGTGTGCAGCTTGTATTGTACTTGGAATAATTATACAGATGGCTAAAGTAAAGCTGCCCACTGACTCGTGATTCCAGTGAAGATGTCTAAATGACTTATCTTTGAAGATCTAATCATCTGTCTGGCTTGCTCAGTGACAAGTCAGCCTCGACAGGTCCATGCCAATAGGCATCATACTTGAAGCATTCCTGGTTGGAAAAATTATCCAATTGAAAAATCTTTCGTGGGTAAGTCTTGAAGTGAAGTTGTAACTGGTAATTTTCAAAGGTGCTAAGCATCTGAACCTTCCAAGCATGACACTGAGTCCCACATTCAATTTAAAAAAGAGGTTTCAATTTGAAGCTCTAAATATTTATTAGGTTCTTAAATTGGAATAATGTTAGTATATATAGAAAATCAGTTCTCAAGAAAAGATGCTGATTAGAATTAGTGTTAAACATACTATGCAAGGTAAGTCTTAGCAAGCAGTAGAGAACTGCAACACTGTTGATGTAGTCTTCTATTGTACTTTACCCAGTTCTTTAATTTTTGATAGTGACATCAGTATAGAAAAACTATTAATTTTCCCTTACTATATGTGCTTTCCACTGTTTTCAGTGGCATCTCTTGAAAATAAGCATGTCTTGAGCTAGGTTACCTTTCTTTGGGATCTGTTGCCAGGGACAAAAAAATGTTCCATGTGCATGAATATAACATCTGTAATACAACTGAACTTGATAAAAAGCAAATATGTGAATTTGGTTTAGTATTCTGTTAAACCCTTATCATGTCCCCCCCCTCAAGTGTCTCTTTTCTAAACTGAATAGACCTAGATTCTTTAGTCTGTCCTTGTATGGAAGCCCCTCCATACCACTAATCATCCTTGTTGTCTTTCTCTGGACTGCCTTTAGTTTTTCTATATTCTTTTTTGAGGTGAGAGCACCAGAACTGGGCACAGTATTCAAGATGCGAGTGTATCACAGATTTTTAAAGGGGCATGATGCTGCCTTTCATTTCATTTACAATTCCCTTCTTAATAATCCCTAATGTTTTGTTTGCCTGTTTGATGGCTTCTGATCACAAAGTTGATGGTTTTTAGTGAACTATCCACAATGACTCCCAGATCTCTTTTCTGTGTGGTAACAGCTGATGTAGAGCCCATCATAGTGTAGGCATAATTTGTGTTGTTTTTTGCCTAGGTGCATCACTTTACACTTATACATTTGAATTTCATTTGCCATTGAGTTTCCCATTCACTCAATAGTGCCAAATACTTTTGCACATCATCACAGTCTGCCTTGATCTTTACTACTTCGAATAATTTTGCTATCCACAAATTTGGCCACTTTGATACTCACCCCTTTGCCAGAGCACTTACGCATATGCTAAAGAGCACTGGTCCCAACACAGATCCCTGAGGCATCCTGATGTTTACCTCTTTCCATCCTGAAAATTAACTGCTCTTTGCTTTCTACCTTTGAGCCAGTTTCTAATCCATGAGTGGATGTTCCCTGTAATGCTGTCACTATCTAACTTAGTTAAGAATATCATGGGAGACCCCGCCAAAGGCTTTTTGGAAGTCCAGATATACTATACCAACCATACCCTATTCATATACTTTATTGACACCCTCAAGGAACTCTAGTAGGTTGGTAAGGCATGATTTTCCTTTGACAAAGCTGTGTTGAGTCCTTCCTGACAAGTCACTTTAATCTATATGCTGAACAATTCTTTTATATTTATTATTGTTTCTACCAGTTTTCCAGGAACTGAAGTTGGGCTTACCAGCCTGTAGTTCCCTGCGTTACTTCTAGAGCCTCTCTTTAAATATGCGAGTCATAGTGGCAGCCCCTCAGTCCTCTGGTACCAAGGCTGTTTTTAGTGATGGATTGCATATTATAGTTAAGAGCCCAGCAGTTTCAGCTCTGAGCTCCTTCAGAATACCATCAGGTCCTGGCGATTCTTCTACTCTTTAGTTTATTAATTTCCTCTATAACCTCATCTGTTGAAACCTTAGGGACAAGTCAGTGAAGCTGACCGAAACTGTAGAGGAGTGGATCTAGTGATGTTGTGGGCTATGGACTATTCCCTAATGTCTTCCACAGTAAAAACAGATGCAAGAAATGCATTTGTTTCCCAGCAATGGCTTGTCATCCTCTAGAGCCTACTTTGCACCCTGATCATTCAAAGGCCCAACGGACCCCTTGGCATGGCTTTGGCTTCTAATGTACTCTAAAGAAATTTCTATTGTTATCTTTTGTACCTTCAGCAAGTTTCTTTTCATTCTCCTGTGGTTGGTCTTATTACAGTTTTACATTTGATTTGCTAGAGTTTGTGTTCTTTTATTTTCCTCTTTTGGTCTGCTTTAGGGATTTTTTAAAAATTAGTGGTGTGCATTTGCTTTGTGCTTCAAATATGGTGCTCTTAAGCATTCCCTTGCTCCTTGCAAGTCCCTCACCTCCTTAGGGGCCCCTTTTAACTTCTGGCTAATTAGCTTCCTTATTTTGGTGTATTCTTCCTTTTGAAAATTAAAGGCTACTGTAATAGATTTTCTTGTCTCCCCTCCTTTATTAATGTCAAACCCATTTGCATTGTGGTCATTATTGCTGAACAGCTCAGTAACACTGACCCTTTTGCACCAAATCCTGTTTACTGCTTGGAACTAGCTCAAGAATGGGCTTTCCTGTTGAGGTTCCAGGACTAACTACTTCAAAAAGCAGTCTTTTATAATGTTAAGAAATTTGGTCTCTGCATCGCAGCCTGGTGTTAGATCAGGGTTGGGCAAAATACAGCTCACAGGCTGCATCCGGCCCATGGAGGTGCATTGTCTTGCGGCGAGTGGGTTCCTTGGTCCCACCTGGCTGAGGCACCGCCTGGCTGTGGTGCATCCCGCTGCCCCCTGGGCACGTAGCAGGACTGGGGTGGCTCCATGGCTGAACTGCCTTTCTAGGTAGCTTAGGCAGTGGAAGCTCTTTCTGGGTGCCACTACCTCTGGCCCCAGCTCTGCAGTATCCGTGGGAACCAGTGCACACAGCCCCAACCCTATGCGCCCTGTCCCTGTTCCGGGCTCACCTCTCCAGGCTGAGCAGCAGCGGCGGTGCAGGGGGAAACTGCCCCCTCCCTCTCACCTCTGCTGGTCCATTGTTGAGTGGGGCCCTGGTTGGGAAGGACTTACCTGCTGGGGAGGCATGCCCACAATATATATATTTTTTTTCCCTCTGCCTCTATCTGTACCCCCCTTTTCCATCCCCACATATACTTACCTGCTGGGTGGGGGTACGGGGTGGCGCACAGTAGATCTTGGGTTACTTTTAAATGCCAAAGGTGATCTCCTAGTTAAAAAGGTCAGAGACCACTGATATACCCTATTAGATTTAATGCAGTCTCTTCTGTAGAGTACCACTCCTGCACCAGTACTACCTATGCTATCGTTCCTGTCTATACCATATAGACAGTGAAGCAGTGAAGCTAAGCTTCATATAGTGAAGCTTAGCTTCACTGCTAAGCATTCAAGTTCCACCACCTTTGATCTTAAGCTTTTTGTATTAGTATAAAAGCATGCGTAATTCTTACTGGTGCGTGGTTGGCTACTTCTGTGTGACCTCTTACTTATTAAAGGTATCCGCTTGTGCTTATCTTCACAGTGTTTCTTATGCCTGGGTTTTTATAGTTTTACCCCTATAGGATGTGTCAATTTGAACTGTGCGCTATTCTGCACTTGTAATCTTCTCTGTGTTTTTAGTTCAAAAGAAGCTCTACCACCTTTTTAATATTAAGTACCAGTTTTGTACCATTTTGGCACAGGTGGAGCCTTCTGTACAGGCTCCCCCTGTTACAAAAGGTCCCCCAGTTGCTAATAAACTTAAACCCTTCCTACCTATGTCATCATCTCAGCCACAAATTGAGACTCTGGACTTGTGCCTGTCAGGAAGCCACACTGGAAACATTTTGGAGAATGCTACTGTGGAAGGCCTGGGCTTCAACCTACCTAGCCGCCTAGATTATAGCTTCCAAAATCTCTGCTACCATTACCCATGTTATTGTTATTCACATGGACTACAACCACCAGCTCCTCCCCAGCCCTCCCTGGCAGCTTATCTATACATCTCATGAGTCATGTGGTCCACTACCTTTGCACTTGGCAGGAAAGTCACCATGTGGTCCTCTCAGATGTCAAAAAGCCAGCTGTCTATGTACCTAATAATCAGGGATCCTGGTTTTCTCTGATTAAAAGTTGCAAATTCTCTGATTTTAAAAACCCAAAATCCATGATAAAAATTCCCCACCCCCACAGCCTTGACAGCCTTCCTGATGCCCCTCGCAACAGCCCCCCAGACCCGCAGACACAGAGGTGCACACAAACACTGACACCCACTCCAGCAGGTAAGTGTGTGTAGGGGGAAGGGGCGGGGTAGGGCGGGGGAAAGGGAAGGTGCAGCAGGGGTAGATCAAGGGTGGGGGGGTGTTCCTCTGTGCCTACTCCCAGGGGCAGGGGTTCTACTCTAAGGGCCACACATGCGCTGGCCGGCCTGATGGGGTTTGCACACGGAGCCTGCCACTGCAACTCTGCCACTGCACCCTGTGCTACCATCCCGCAGCCACCCATACAGCTTTGTGGGCAAGTGGCTCAGGGCGTGGCAGCAGCAGTGCAGTGGCAACCACCTTGTGTGGGCCACATACATGTCACCCGGCCAGGGGTTGGAAAGGGGCTCTTACATGCAGCAACCGCCACTGCACCCCTGCTTATGCCTTGCAACTGGCTGCACAGCTTCCACCAAGCACCCGCCACTGCACCACTGCTTATGCCTTGCAACTGGCTGCACAGCTCTGCAGCAGTGCTGGCTGGGGGGCGTTATATGGCCAAG